CAGACTGAGGCAATGAGAACGGGGTGGGAAGATACAAGACTTCTTGATAGCAACATTTGTTTTAAATTTTAAGTAATCATTTTTCCACAGGTAAGCATTAATTCACTAAGAATAATCACTGAACTAGAAAGGACTTTTTATTCTATTAGCTGACGCCATGATATTTTTCTGTTGTTACACATCTTAAAGAGACAATTGATCTCTGCTCTACTGACTGAGCATATGTCAATATTGGTTCAAGTCACTAGTAAAACTTCTTTGGATCCACCTCTCCCAGATGGGTGAAGTTAATCCTCAGCCTGATTCATACCTTACAGGTTTACATCAGCTGGTAGCTCCATCTCTATGTCTACAATCATCTCAGCCACTGACCATTCCAAACACTTAAGTTATGATGTTTTAAATAGTAGTATTCTTTTGTAAATTTGCAAGCCAATAAGCTAGGAATGATACTAATATGCATTTCTTTAAATAGAATGAATAAAATTTGGAATTTTATTGTAACTTTCTGTGTATCATGTCTTTCAAGTCCTCCTGTGACCTACTGAGTTATAGGAAATCACAATGAAATTCACTTTTAAGTGCTTTGCATACATTTTATGCTACAAATTATTTTGTCTATTTTATCAACTAATTTTGCGGGGTAGTGTAGTGTGTTTTTTAACATTTCATCTTCAGTTTCTCAGTATCAATTCTGGTTCATATTAAACATTGAGTAGGTATTTACTCAGTGAATAAACATGGAGGAATATATATTTTTTCTTGTTATTTTTTAGGGGCTGGAGCTATGACTCAGTGGGTAAGAGCAAGTGTTGCTTTTACAGAGGACCCAAGTTTGATTCCCAGCACCCAAATGGTGGCTCATAACAATCCCTAACTCTACTTCCAGGTGATCCAACACTCTCTTGACTTCCATAGCTACCAAGCACACTGTTGCTGCAGACATATGTAGGCAAAACATCCAAGCACAAAAAATTTAATAAAAGATTTTTCAGATCTGACTGGAACTTATTTATAGAATTCCCTTGTTTAGTATCATCTGTTCCTTTTTAATTCTTTCACATTTTTTGGTATATGTTATATTTCTATCAGGAATACTGGTCATATGGACAGTTAGGAAATTATAACCTCTGGCACCTCTGTAGATGACCAAGGGCTTTCTGCTCATTTCTGTTTTAAAAATCCAACTAGGCTGCAGCCAACAATACTAGACTTTTCTAACTAAGAAAGCACATTAAGAGACCCTGAAATCATAAGCAGCATTGTTAGGCTGAATTGCTAAATACTTACTGAATTTCTTTCTCTAATTTAAAAAGTGCCTTGGTTAATAAAACACACTTTTCTAGAAGATCACCTTTAATAATGGGGAAGGCAAATACTAATCAATACTACTAAAGTTTGGTGTCTCAGTTTAAATTTGGAATGTTCCATGATCAATATAGAATTTATTACAATTCATTTTATGTTGAAATAAATTGGTCTACCTAAGTATTCAACTTAGGCAGTTACATGCATCATTTTAGACGTGAGGAATCCAAATCAACACAAAACATCTTATAGAATGCTTAATAATTCATTTCTTAGCTAGACACCAGGAAAGGCAAAGGATAGAAATATCAGGAAATTTATATTAGTAAGTGGCACTCATTTCTGTAAAAACCAAAGCAGTCACTTGGCTTAATAAATAATCTTTACTTATCTTCTATATAATCTAACATTCATAGTATATTGTGAATGGAGGACTGACACTTCTACAGGACTTAATTATAATATTTCTTAAGTAAGAAAGTATTTGATCAACAAGTTTATTCTCATCTTGAACATAAATATCCAGAGGTGTAACATCAGTTATAGTCCCAGAAAGCTACTAAGGAAGCATCTAATCCAAATAGTACACAGACTTAGAATTCACTACATTCATACGATTTGTCTAAATAGGACAGCTAGATATGAGACCAGAAAAACTACTAAGAATTTCTTTCTAAATAGTCTATATCTATTATAAAGAAATCACAGTTTAGGGCTGGCCTCAGTTGGTGGCATGCTTGCCAAGTATGATTGAAGCTCTGAGTTCAACCCCTACTACCACACAGTCTGCACTACTTAAGGTAGAATGCAGAAAAGTAGGAAGGGAGATGGACAGGTGAGCAGACAGATATAAATCCCAGAAGGAAACACATACTAGAATCTAACTTCAAGGGAAATTGTTTTGTCTTTGCATGTGTTAATGTCCCAATTCAGTTCTCTAGTTTTGCACAACTGACACCCTAACCCTTTGAAAATGTTGCCCTTCCTGGATAGTGGTGGCACACACCGTTAATCCCAGCACTTGGCAGGGGGTGGGGGCAAACAGATATCTGTGAGTTAGAGGCCATCAGCCTGGTCTACAGAGTGAGTTCCAGGACAGGCCCCAAAACTACACAGAAACCCTGTCCTGAGGAAAAAAGAAAATGGGACTGGAGAGATGCTCAGAGGTTAAGAGCACTGGCTGCTTATCCAGAGGACCTGGGTTCAATTCCCAGCACCCATGGGGCAGCTCACAACTGTCTGGGTCAAACACCTTCACACCAATGCTCATAAGATACAAAAAACTATAAATTAAATACATTTTTAAAATGTAGTTCACTGGTCAATAAGTGTTAGTACAAGCAGTATTTAACTGAATTGAGAATGCAGTTAGACATTTTGCCAGTCAAAGTTAAAAGAATCAAATGACTGCTGCAATCACTTTTTCCTTTTGGATGAATGTGATATCCACAACTGTGGGTAAATGTGATATAAAATATCCAAGAAGGATCATACAGCAGGAAGTCCAATTAAACAATTTTCTTTAAATGAATGTATGATAGGTAATAAGAAATCCGTGTCAATAAAATCAGTCTAATTTTTTTACATTTTTACAAATCAAAGGAAATCCACTTTTGTGTTTAGAGATATACTATTTTAATGAACTTTAATCTTGTATTTATAAAATATGTATTTTCCAATTTGCCTCAACAATAATAATGGGACTGTTCAACAAAAGTAGTTAGAGGAGTCTATTCACTACTTTTATATAGAGAAATGGAACACCTAAATTTAAAATTCATATTAATGTGTAATATGCACAGAAATAGCTTTCTGAGTTAGCACAATAATTATCTTAAATTCCACAAATTGTTCCATTCTTTTTCATTGCAATGCCTCATTTGTAGTTTCTATCAATGTTTATTAAGTTGAATTTCCAGATGTATCTATGTTCAGTCTTTAGTATCATTTCTTACTTTTGTCACAATTAATAACATTTTAAAATGTGGATTGAAAGTGCCTATCATACTTCATAGTCAGTCCTGCAATTCACTGTGAAATAGTTAAACACAGCCTTTATTTATTTTTTTTAAGTGTCATGAGGAGTTAATAGGACACAGCTGTACTGGCTCTTTCTAATAAGCAGCTTCTGTCGCTTTGGTCACCACAGGTGTCTCTGTAACCTGCAAACTCTTATTACTAGTGTATCAAAGTTGTGCTACTTAACAGGCTTCTTTAGTAAAACATAACAAAGCAATTACATGGCTGTTGATTGCTAGTCATAAAAAAACCCTCAAACACTATTTTTCAAAAGAAACTACACTGCAATTTTTTGTCATTGTAAAATAAAAGGAACTAAAGAATTAAATGGAGGATAGAACAAAATGACAGCAGGTAGCCAGCTGAACTTAGCCACTACAGATGGTTCAGAAATAGTGTTTCCTTCTCCACCGAGCTGTGGATAAAAGAAAAGGAGGAGATTCCTTACTGCCAGTGAATGGCAAAAGATTTAGCCAAGTCTTCAGTCTACATATTTTGCCTCATGAAAGACCTTCGATGCTGCATTTTTATCTGTTTTTGGCGCTGCTTTTCATCACCTTTGACTGAGTGTGAATAATAACCTGATTTAATTTAAACAAATACAGGTGCTAAAGGTTCTTTATTTATGTATAACAGGGAACATTTCCAAGGCAGAACCAAGTCATCCTAGGAATTTTCCTAACCATTTGTTTAAAGAAATGAAGTATTAGGGGAAGAAATTGCTCCACCACTCTTTTGTCTCATGATCAAGGGAAGAACCATCTTTTTTTTCAGATTCAGATTACATAAAATTAAGTCTGAATAATGACCAAAACTTCAGGCAGCTATAAAATAAGAAGCTAAATCAAATTGTTTCTAATTGTTATACAATTGCTTGCTAAGTAACCATGATAGGTTTGCTTTAAAGTTAATTTATTTAATCTTCTTCTCTGTTTATAAGTGTGTGATTATGACTGTGTTAACACACCCAAAGTGGCATTAAGGAATGTTATGACCACATGTGTAATTAAACATGATGAAAATGTATTTCAGAAAGGATAATGCAAGGTGCAGATTATTAAGAATTACTTACCACAGATATTATGATCAACAAACTAAGTTTTATGTTGACAACTAGAAAAGGCTTTTTTTCTCCTATGGAGAATATGGATGTCCTGCTGGCTATGTGCAAAAGAATGTGTGCAATAAAGCGACTAGATCAATTAGTATATGCTAGAGTAAAGCTATTACCAACTTCACTGAAGTAGTCCAGAATGTTCTGCGTTCTTCACTGATGTTATTAAAAACTAAACTTATCCCTAGGGTTACTATTAGATTTGCTTTGCTTTCATAATAAAAATGAAGATTTTCTTTAAATAATTAGTAACTTATTAGAAATGTACTTGGCATTGCAGATAAAAGATAAAAATATGTTTTGTGGTGTTTTTGTTTGTTCAAGGCAGGGAAAATATATATATTTTTTAATTTTCATGTTACTTTTTAATTTAAGAAGGATTTTATAAGCTAAAGTATACAGCTATATATGTTAGCTATAATAGATTTTATCTAATGAAGTACAATGGAAGAGAATTTAATGTTGAGATTGTAAAACATTAACAATGTAACAAGAAGTCAAATGCACTTCAATTTTTTAAATGGAAACTCAACTAACAACTTGTGAATAACAGTATTACCTTGCTCTGTTGGCGTCCTTTGTCAGATCCCAAGCCCAGGTTATAAAATTTTGACTCAGATAAGAAACAATGGATTCAGCACAAAGCATTTGTGAGCAGAACACGTTGGTTAGTACACTTTCATCATGGTGAAGGTAGATAGCAAGAAGCTTTCTCTGGAAAAAAAAAAAAAAGGAGAAAAAAATCAATTAAATATCCATGAAAAAGAAAATAAGACTTTGATTTCTAGAGAGGCTCAATCAGTGTATATGAACTGCAAAGACAAAACTAAATGCTACTCCCTAAAAGAGCTCCTTCTCATCAGAGCTCCCAGATCATCTATAAACATTAATACATTTTATTTCCTTATACTCTAAAGAGGTTAGGATGATTGCATGTAGTTTCAGGGACCATTATTTTGGGTTTCTGTTAACATGTGCAAGCCTAATTTGAGCAGAAATTGCCACAGAACTGTACTTTGTTAAAATGAAATGGGCTTAACATTCTTCACATTTAATACACACTGTATTAACTCTCAACTACTCACTAAGATAGCAAGATCTCTAAAAAGTCTGTTCTATTTGAAAAAGCTTAAAACGGACTTTTATTTTAGTTAAACTGATTAATTTGAAACTTCTTAACATGTGCCTCTATTAAAGTCCTTATTTAGGAGTGTGTAACATTTAATTGCCATTTGAAAAAAATGACAGAGAAACAGTCCATAAGAAATGACACCTGCTCTCTAAAAAAGGTCTTTTTGTTATAGTTGGACAGTCAATAAAATACCTGAAACTAAATAGTAAAACTCAACAAGACATTTATAGTATGTTAGCTTTAACAGTGATAGCAACAAAAGGACCCAACTATTTGTTCACTAACTTCTTGGTACTGCCTTAATACAACAGCTGAGTTAAGAACAGCCACAGTTATCATGAAAAGGAAAGACAACATTTTACAGCAGTGAATATATACAATAAGGAAGACATTCGCAAGGATATAAACTTTTCATGAAATTCTACCAAAGAAAGATTTCAAAGAAGCTTGAGGATCTTTCTTTTCATTTTAAATAAGTATGACAGTAAATGAAAACATACTGTGTGGGATTTTCAACAAAAGGAAGTGTCTAAACAGAGGGGCTAGGCTGAAGAAAGGCTAACAAAGTCTCATGCGTGGAACAATACTGATTTTAAACCCAGATTATAAAAATAATACAAAAGTAATCATGAAAATACTTTCTTCAAAACATAATTTTGTACGAGATAAAAATAACTAGAAAGATAAAGATTCCAAAAGCATCTATTATCAAAAGGATACACTCTTATTATTACAACTATTATATACACAAAGCTCTAGAATGTATATGTAAAACAGGTATTCATAACCTCATTAGCACATGAAGAAAGTCAAGTTTAGAAATGACTTATCTGAACTTCCAGCTAGTCAATAAAAATTCAGTTAGGATTGAAACCTAGATTTTATGACTGCAAGTCTAGTGTTCTTTCTGTTACTAGAGTAGCAGCAGGGAAATTGGGCACACTCTATAATAAAGAGGTAATGTGGTGGCACTCATCTAACACAGAGATAGCAAAATGCCTGTGACGTAAGTGAGCAGAGCCTCAGAGACAGCATGTAACTGGAATAAGGATAAGACTACTGCCTATAAATGGCTTGGCTGATCCCACCATGATTCTAGGTGTTAATTCGTTTACTCTTTCATTCAATAAGCATTTGTTGAAATTCCCATTGTGCCAGACCAAGCAGGAAAAATAGGCAATTAATGAATAACAGGAAAGATGAAGGGATTCTTCACCTTTGTAGAGGACTATAGATAACAGTAACTGGGCTTCTAGGAAGTTTGTAATCAGACACATTGTTGGAGAGATACTTATCTGGCAAATTCCACTCATCCTTAAAGGCTCAAGGCAAATGTTTCTATGAAACCCTCCTTAATTCCCTCAGTCAGTTAAAAGCTTCCTTTTCTGGCTGGCTTCTAGATCTTCCCATTAGTATTATAAATGTTTACAAGTTTTCCCTATAGACAAAGTCTCTCAAGGGCCAGGACTGGGCCTCTGAGGCTTCTTTGCATCCTTAGACTAGCATAGGTCCCAGCCTATTAGATGAAATAAACTCAATACTGATCTTAACTACAGCCCCCTGGCAAAAAAGACACCAAATGTCAGAGATAAATGCTAAATCTGTTTTTTATTAAGTGAATCAAGAATATTTGGCTTCAGAGAAAGAAAGGTGAACCTGGCTGCACTAACAAATTCAGGGCTCTTCTTCTTAGCTTTCTAGCTGAATAGGCAGAGGGATGTCAACCTCTAATTCGTCTTGATCGTATCTCAGCAACTACATTTAATGAGAGTGGGAACAAGAGAGCTGACCACTTTTAAATCAGCAGATTTCTAATCAAACAATAGCAATAGCTAAATCTTTAAAATGCTTATTTCTCTCAAGAAACACTGCAAGGGAACATTTGGACTTTGGGAAAGAGATTAGTGATTTGCATCGCTATCTCACTGATTTAATTTAAATGCTCTCCCAAACCAAATACATATGTGCCCAAGAGGTTACTAAGACACCCAACATGCAGAGTTCCCTATAAGTGCAGCTGATAGTGTTGACTGAAACTAAACTTGGAAATCCAGGGCACAAATGCACAATATCAAGCAATAAAAAAAGCATCTCTTTGGCAATATTTAATTTTAAAAAGAAGAAAGAGGCAGGCAGAGACCAGGCACTGTCTGTTTTGGAGGATCAGGCATTCTGCATTTCAAAGCATGGGTCCCTGCAATATCCAGGTTACTGTGCTAGAATCTCGACTATTATATCGAAGTTGTGAGAGGGAGGGCAAAGATGTGTTTACTCAGTGATTAGGCCCTTAGAATAAGCCTCTAGCTCCTAGAGAGACAGCTCACCACTTATTCATTTGGGCCAATTCACAAAGCCTAGGAAGATTAAACATCCATGCTGAGAAGACAAGCGAATGCAGACGGTGAAAAAGAAATAAAAATTCTTTAAAAACTCTGAGATGACTTCATTATTTTTTCACAAGGAAACTTTAGGAAAGTGTTTAGTTAGAGAAAAACCCACATTGACCTCTCTCTAAACCCTTAATCTTTCCTTTGTGGTGGCACTGCTTTGTGGAAAGCCACTGGCTCGCTGTGCTCCTCTTTTCACTGGAGCTGGGAGAAAAAAGGCTCTGGAGAAACAGTTTTCGATCCAGGAACACAAACCCCTGACACTGTTAAACACACTTAAAAATTCCCACTTTAAGACCTAAGTAGAATGTGAGAAAGATGATAAAAAGAGTATCCAAAGAGAATCTTCAGGCCAAGGCACTCCCAGAGGAAGCAGAGTAATCTCGGCCTGCTCCTCTTACATGGGAAGTTTTCAATGCAAAGTTTTTTTTTCCCTGATACAATGACAGTAAACAATCAGAACATACTCTTAATGTGGGACATAAAAATCAGATTAAATTATAGGCAAAGATAAACTTCCAGGCGACTTCTGATTCTCCTGCTGAGCTCAGCTCAGCATTGGTTCAAACAGAGAGAACTGAGTTTAGCAAATCAAGCAATTTAGGAGAGAAGTAAAATATGTTTGTGAAGAAACGGCATCTGGTACACAGAAAAAAAAAAAGAAAGAAAGAAAGAAAGAAAGGAAAGAAAGAAAGAAAGAAAGAAAGAAAGAAAGAAAGAAAGAAAGAAAGAAAGAAAGAAAGGTGTGCTTCCATTACTATAACCTGTTTTTCCCTTAGCCCATTCATATTTTGGTCCAATATCATTTGTGGAGTGCCATGTGTTAGACACTGAGCATATAAAATGCATACCACAACATCCCATTGCCTTACAGAATTGGGGGAGGAGAGGATATATGGGTGAGATAATCATGCAACTGTGTTGCCTTAGCCTTGACTATCCATTTGTGGTCTGTTTTGGTAAGTGTAAGGAAGTCTCCAAGGCTTAAAATAGCCGAACATCTTGGTCTAATCCTAGTTCTGTCTCCTACTAGTCTTCTGACCATGAAGCAAGACCAATTGTGAAAATTTTAGATAAAGCATGTTAAATACTTATTTACGGTCCCGGATCTATAGCAGCTACTAAATAAAAAGGTACTGTGAAGATTATAGAACTATCAATACAAAATTTGAAAGCAATTCCTAGGAAAATGATAGCCCTGAAAATGGTCTACAGATTAAGTAGCTCTTTGGATTTTTCCTTCTGACAATGGAATCTGAGATGCTAACTGTGCCTTCAGTGTTAAGCATCTTCAATCTAGGGGCTCAGAAATTGCCCAGCCAGCAGTAATCCATGTGACTTGACCTTGGGCTACAGTGGCTACCAAACATAAACCTTAGTTTCACAGAACTACAGGACATTAGAATGGAAAGAAGAAGCTGGGGTGTGGTTCAGTTGGTAGACTGTTTCCCATGTCTGGAGCCCTGAGTTCAATCCTGAGCACTGCATAAACCAGGTATATTGGTGCAGGTCTATAATCCTAGCACTTAGGAGGCAGAGACAAGAGGATTAGGAGTTAGAAGTCAGGATGATCCTTAACTACATATCAAGTGCAAGGTCAGTCTGACTTATATGAGACCACATATAAGTGGGGGTGGGGTGGGGTGGTGGCAAACAAGAAGTAGCAAGATACACTTCAAAAGCCAGAAGAGAACAAACATTCAGTAAGAGGAATATGTTAATAGAGTACTGAAAGAGCTCATTTTCAAGTATCATAGCACACATAATCTGTGTTCTCTCAGTGATGTTAATGTTGATAAGATAAATAATTTGGAGATTTTTTTTTCTTTTGGTTTTTCAAAACAGGGTTTCTCTGTGTAGCTTTGGAGCCTATCCTGGCACTCACTCTGGAGACCAGGCAAGAAATATTTTTTTCAGTGTAAGAAATTACAGTATAAAATAATTTCCTTTGTGGAACATGGTATCTGATTTTATCTCCTTCCCACTTCTAAATTACTACTCTTGTGACCTCTTTTAAGTTGATGGGCAATTCATTGACACAACTGACAGAATAAAGCATCTGCTTTATCTTCATTACACCATGTAATTTATTTTCGGTATACTAATATCTAAAATAGAATATATACTCAAATTTTCTCAATTATTTCCAAAACATTATTTTGTAGGTGTCTTATTTTTAGTCCTTGGCTTTTTAA